TGCTTAAAACTTTTTTAAAAGTAAAGAAAAACATGGATATTAGTTTGTTTTACAAACTATAATCTTTTATCAAAAAACAAAAGATGGGGTTTAAACCCAAAAAAGCAAGCAACAAAATTTTAAGCTCTGCTACTCCAAGAAACCCAGTTCCAAAACAAAGTTCATCAAGTACTGTTGAGGAGCCCGTGATTAAACCAGTTGCAGCGCCAGTTCGTTCGTACTCATTTGAAAGCAAAGATGGCCCTTCAGTGGCGGCTCGTGATAATTGAAAATGGGTGTTCACATTTTCCAATAATTTTATCATGTGTAAGTTCGCATCAAAACTTTGTACAAGAGTCAATATCGCTGTTTTTTTTTTATTATTTGAGTTTGTATTAAGTGTAGTTACTATTATCAACATCATACTGTTTTCAAGCACTACAACTATTAATGAATGGATATTTTAGTTAGTCTGATACTTGTTTTGTTTTTAATACATTGAAAACCATCTATAAACATTATTAGTTTGTAAACTGACTTTTCTTCATAATTTGAGATTATTTTTTTTTTTTGGGTTAGCCCGAGGTACGGAAAAGGAAAACATAATAAAAGACCTCATGATATCTTATGAAATAGTAGCAAAGGAAGCTTACCTGATGACTACTAAACATAGACCACTCTATCTAATCATAACTGACCCGGCCATTACCCTGGACTACCTTAATAAAAATGTAAGAGTCATTGAAAACACCCGTATTACCTGGGAAATGAGAAGATCCACTAAGGCGATAATACAATACCACAGGTGTCAAGCGTGGGGTCACGCAACATCAAACTGCGGCAGGCCCCCCAAATGCCTGAAGTGCGCCGGTGACCACCTCACCAATACATGCAGCAAAACGAGGGAAACCCCTGCCACATGCGCAAACTGTTTAGGGGAACATCCCGCAAATTATACTCAATGCAAGGCATACGTAGATAGAGCATCAAGACTAGAAGAAAGAAAACTATCGCAAATGCCTAAGAAAAAATACGTACTAGCTCCACAACCCTCCACAAGCGCATGGGACAAAAGAAGAAACCCCACACCCGCAGAATTAGAAGACTTCCTGCCACTACCGAGTTACAATAAACAAATAAATAATAATAAAAATATAAAAACTCCCACAAATGCCCAACCAGGGGGAATGGATGATTTTTTCGCACTCTCAAACGAATTTGCAGAACTAAACACAATGGTAAATATAGCTGCACTCACTCGTGCTGTCCGTGACCTAAATTCATCCCTTAAAAAAATGCACAACCACACCACAATATCTCATGACGTTCAATAACATTATGACGAACCTTGACTCGTACAACATACGCAACTGAACTCAACGATATAAACAAAGACAAACTCAGAATTTGTTTTTTCAATGTGCGCGGGCTGCTGAACAAGATCGGTCTTGTCAGCAATTTCATTCATAAGCATAAATTTGACATTTTTATAGCCACAGAAACATTCCTAAGACCGACCGACAAAGTTAAAATCTACGACTACGCAATAATTAGACAAGACAGAAACATACCAAACATGAAAAACGCCTCTGGCATTCTATAATACAAGTGGCACTGTGTTGAGAGATTTCGCCGAGGACAACGACCTAATCATACACTATACAGAAGAACCGACATACTACCCGACATGCGCAACTCACAGTCCAAGTACACTGGATATTGCCATAGCAAAAAACATTCCGGACATTAGAAATAATAGGACAATAACCACTCTTAATTCTGACCATGACCCAGTGTACTTGGAAATTTGGACAAATAACAAAATACAAAGACAAAAAACTCAATACTACGATTATAAAACTACAGACTGGAATAATTACAGATCAAAACTTGACAAATATATTACAATAAATCATAACATCCAGTCTGTAGAAACCCTAGAAAACGAAACAAAAACATTAATACAAAAGATACAAAAAGCTAGAGACGAAACAACAACACTAAAAACACACAAACAACACTTCGACATACTGCCATCTGAGATCACTGACCTTATCGACGACAAAAACCGACCAAGAAAAAGATGACAGCAAAATCGGCGATACGAAGATAGGGAAAGCATGAATAACCTTGCCAAAAATATTAATAAGATAATAAGAGAACATCGGAATGCTAAATGGCAATCCACCCTACTGGAGTTGAAACCGAATGACAATTCACTGTGGAAAGTGGTGAAAAGGTACAAAAAACCTTTTACACTGCTTCCCACACTGAAAAAAGGACAAGACATATTCACAACAGACAAAGAAAAAGGTCAAGCCCTCGGCGAATATTTTCAGTCTAAATTTGTAAACACACAAATTAACAATCAACAACAACAACAAATCGAGAATGCAGTTGATGAATTCGAACAACAAGAACCACTTTTAGTACCCCAATCTTCTCTAACCTCTCCTAAAGAGGTAGGTGAGGTTATTAAGAGTCTCAAAAATAGAAAAGCTCCGGGACCGGATGATATTAGTAATATATTGCTTAAAAACCTTAGCAGAAAAGCTATCGTGCAGCTCTACCACATAATAAACGCCATTTTCAGACTACAACACTACCCTAGTAGTCTGAAAGTGGCGAATATTATTCCCATACAAAAACCGGGTAAACCGGGTAGTAATTTATTTATTTATTTATTCCAGAAACAAACAGACATGAGCCTAATTACATGTTCCTATAAATACAGCGAAAATAGAAATCAACAAAAATACATAATATCTAATTAAATATATAAGTGAAATTATAATTAACAAACCTCGCTACTACAAAATTTTAACAAAGTTCATTAAAGAACAAAACTACTGAAATAATCAGAAATATTCAGGAATAATCAGAGCGTCTGCAAAACCCCACACCAAGGCCACGGAAATCCTACACGGTTATGTCTCTTTAATCGAGCCCAACAATTTTGTTAAGTTCCTTTCTATATGTGCTTATAGCTACATCAAAAATACCGCAAGAAATGCCTTCGGAGTGTACATTAAACAAAAGACAAATTTTTTCTACTGGACCATGATTATCCGCACGAAAAGTTAATTGACGTGGACGAATACCTGCTATTGGAACATTAATATAGATAGCTACCGCCCCATATCGCTACTAAACACACTAGCTAAAATTACAGACACAATAATACTGCGAAGACTAAAAACAATTGAACAACGACTACAGATTATCCCATGGGAACAATACGGCTTCAGAGAGGGACATAGTACCGTGGCCCAAGTCCTGAGAATCGCTCACCACGCCAAAGAGGCGTATAATCAGGGCTTACAAACGGTACTTGTCACGCTAGACAGCGAAAAAGCATTTGATACCGTATGGAACCGTGGGTTAATCTATAAGATGCTTATGAATGACTTTCCTGGGCACATTGTTAAAATAATTCTATCATACTTAAAAGACAGGAAATTTAACATTAAAATTAACAATACAATTACAGGACCATTCCTAGCGATAGCGGGTGTACCACAGGGCTCAGTACTGTCGCCGCATTTGTACACCATTATGACCTGTGACATTCCCATGGGTAATAATGGGGTACAAACGGCACTGTACGCTGATGACATCTGTGTTTTCACCAGTCATAAATCCGCAGAAACAGCGAACAGAAAGCTTGATGATCATATCAACGGACCGTTGACCGAATATCTAGTTGAAAACAAGATGAAAATAAACTCAAATAAGACAGAATCGATGATTCTTACAAGAAGGCGGACACAATGCATAACCACGCCCCTTCAGGTGCAAAACGAGCCAATAGCAACAAAAGATAAGCTCAAATACCTTGGTTTTCAACTGGATAAGTGGTTAACGTTTAAGGCACACATAAAAGACAGGGTGGCTAAAAATTCGGGTATTTTAAGGCCTCTGTACCCCATCATAAATAGACGAAGCCGGCTATCTCTGTCGAACAAACTACTTCTTTATAAAACTATATTCAGGCCGATCCTAACATATGGTTGTCCGGTGTTCTGTTCAATGGCTAATACACAATTTGCAAAACTACAAGTCGCTCAAAACAGATGTCTGAGGCTAGCTCTTGGATATGACCGCTACGCTAGAATACGAGACATACACACTACGACAAATATGCCAATGATTAAAGATTTTATCCTTAAAATAGCAGAAAACTTCTACGCGCGATGTCTACCCGATGAACTTAGGGATAGCATCATGAATATCCACCAGGGAGACAACGTGCGTAGAAAACACGGGTGCTTGCATTCAAATCTTGGCATATACAGACAACAGTAACATAATCCTCGACAGCGACACACAAACTAAACAATAATTCACACGGACTGGATATTTATACGATTCAGTCCGACGAAACACTGAGCGATGGGTCAACCGGCGGGGTCCTAACCTAGAACACTTTACACTCTCAGTTTACCTAGTGCTTTGACTAGTAGCGTTTGTATTCAAATCGAAGGATATTTTAGTAATCTTGTTTTTGACAGCTGTCAATAAAATTCTATTATTTTGTAAAGGTTTTATCTCACGCCAGTGTAATTACCCTGACCCTATAAGGGAAGCGGTTTATATCAGAGCCCATAGGGGCCCCCATAACTACTAATGTCGGCTTTGAAACACAATACACTCGAAGACTAAAAGACAGGTGTAGGCCTGATTACAAAGAGCTGAGCAAATACGCTAAAATACAATCCCCACAGAATATTAGAAAGGCTAAAGTAAAGATACTACCAGTACTAAACGTAAGTAGATATTCAATACCTCTTACGGGCACTAACAATAACTCTGGGGTCAATAAACCAATACCTAAGGAACCGCTCGCAAAAAAATTTGAAGAACGACCTTCAAACGACCCTGAAGTGTTAGAAACAACAGAAGACAACAAAGCTGTTGCTATACAAGCTGTCCCACCTCCACAATCCAAAGAGGACCTTGAGAAAATTCTGACAGAAGGGGACTCGGATGACCTCGAGTTTCATGACTCATCCGACGCCACAATGGACAGCCAGGATGAAAACACTAACAATAGTTCAGAAAACTCCGTCATTCAAGTAGATAAGGGGTCTAACCCCAACCCAACTATCCCTACAGGAGTAAAACCAAAATTTAAAACCCTCCCCCTACCCTCAAATGTGGTTACCACATTACTTGATTTCAAAACTAATGATTACCAAATAGAATCAAACACAATCACAGGGGCAGATCTTCCTAAGGTTGATTTATTACAAGATAATGACAGTGTAGATAATACTCAGACTCAAGGTGGACCGAGTAGCTTTAGGTCTGAGTATGAATATGCACTGTCAACTCAAAAAGACACTAATTTAAACAGAGTCGCGGAAAACATTTTCAGAGAAGAGGCAGCAGCATCAGAAGATGAAAACACACGCTCACGCAGACCTAGTGTCCCGACAAAAGCAGAGAAAATACGTCATTCCCCAAATAGTGTCTTCCCACGTAGGAAAGAGGGAGAACCAATCACAACGGAAAAGAACATGGAAGTTGATGAACCGATCCCCAAAGACAATGATACAGCGTTTATTAATCCGAGAAGGTTCAGCTCGAACTTTCAAAGGCTTATAAGAGAAAAGACAAAGAAATCATTAACACCGACGAAAAATAGATTCGAGCCACTAACAGATGAGTCTGATTCCGATCAAATCGAAGATGATGGGATCGGAAAAATAGTTAAAAAAAGAAAGAAAGCAGCCAGTAGTAATACCAAAGCATTAGAAAGAACAACCAGTGCTAACACCGATAATACTGATGCCAAGCAAACAAATCCTAACGATAAAACCACCAGGCCTAAAACAACGGAGTTAAAACAAGCCAAATCTAAAATTACTATGCCACCCATAGTAATAGATGGGAAAACCACCAACCCTAAAAACCTAATACAAGATATTAAAGCTTTTGCTATAGGTAGTTTCAGTATAAAGCATACAAACTACACGACCGTGCTATTTATCGATGAGAAGGAAGATCACGAAAAAGTTCTAGCCAACATAAAACTAGACAAGATGCCATATCACACGTATACAAACAACGAGGATAAATCCCATGCCTTTGTATTGAGAGGCTTGTCAGAGGGAACGAAAATCACAGACATAGAACTAGATATGGAGGAACAGTACGAAATCAAAACTAGAGCTATCTACAAAATGAAAACTAAAGATCGTCCTCTATATCTAGTGATTACTGTTCCAGCGATTACGCTGGACTACCTGAATAGGAATGCTCGGCGAGTTCTCTACACCAGAGTTGTGTGGGAGATCAGAAAATCTGCAAAACAGATTATACAGTGTCATACATGTCAAGGTTGGGGGCATGCAACCGCAAATTGTGGACGTCCAGCCAAATGTCTTAAATGCGCGGAGGATCACCATACCCTCACATGCACAAAAACTAGAGAAACTCCGGCTACCTGTGTAAACTGCGGGGGTGATCACCCCGCGAATTATACCAAATGCAAAGCCTACATGGATAGGCTAGAAAGGCTAGAAGAAAGGAGAAAACCAGTGCAGCAACAAACAAAATACGTGCCTGCTCCTCCACCTGCTTTCAACAGATGGGAAAACAGGAGACAACCTACAAGGAATCAAGAAGAATTCCCTGCTTTGCCAAGCAGGAGCCAAATTCCAAGTCAAACTGAGAGAAACACAAGAACTGAGAGGCCAAGGCAGGAAAATGAAGGTAAGATCATGAACGATGTCTCGACCCTAAATAACGAACTAATAGAACTCAATAAAATCATTAACATCGGCGAAATGACTAGAGCCGTTAGAGAATTAAATGCAAAAATGAGACAGTGTAAAACAGGACAACAACTATTCGAAACCTACAACGATTTCATGACTAACATTGACTTTAATTTCAATTTAAGAAACTGAACTAAATAATAAAGACAAACAAACACTTAAAATTTGTTTTTATAATGCAAATGGGATGCGCAACAAAACAGCACTTGTTCGCAGTTTCATTCTCAAACATCAATTCGACATCATACTCCTTACGGAAACACACTACAAACAAACTGACAAAATCAAAATACAAGGGTATGATGTCATACGACAAGACAGACCAGACCAATCATGGGGTGGAGTAGCTTTCATCATAAAATCTAATATAGAATTTAAGCAGGTTTCTAACCTGAATATCTCACAGGAACATATTATAATTAAAATAAATGAAATTATACTAGTAGGACTATATAACAAGCTAACCAACAGCTTTGCGCCCATAGTATTCCACAAAATCATGGCCACGGGTAGCAGGGTTCTACTACTCGGGGATCTAAATTGTAAACACCCTCACTGGGACGCAAATTGCACAATCCCCAACAAAAATGGTAGGACTCTCGATAAATTCGCGGATGATAATGATTATATAATACACTATCCCGATGATCCAACGCACTTCCCTTTCTGCGCAGATCACACACCGAGTACAATAGACATAGCGGTAGCAAAAAACTTACCCAACATAGAAAACACAAGGACGATTAAAACACTAAACTCGGACCACGACCCTGTATTCTTAATAATCAAATCTACCAAAATCATCCCCAGAATACAGGGTTTGTACTACGACTACAATACTACAGACTGGACACAATACAGACGAACCCTGGACACAAACATCACAATCAACATGAACATTACCGACATACAAACACTTGAAAACGAATTCGACAATTTTCAAAATGCCATATTAACAGCCAGAAACGCATCGACAAAGAAAACAAAACGAAAACTACATCACGAAGACCTACCGCAAGACATTGTAAAGTTAATACACACGAAAAATTATATACGCAGACGATGGCAAACACACCGACAAGCCGCTGATAGGGTTAATCTACTTCAAATAGCTAAAACAGTAAATAAAATGATTCGAATATCGAAATCAAAATTGGAAGAAAACCCTAGAGGCGGTCAACACGAAAGACAACTCAGTATGGAAAATTGTCAGATGCTTTAAAAAGCCTTACTCACAGTTACCCATACTGAAACATAAACATAACAATACCACATACCTTACAGACGAGCAGAAAGGAAGTGCGCTTGGAGAATATTTCCAAAGCAACTTCGTAAATCCTCAGGTTAATAATGAACAACAAAATCAAATTGAAAATATTTACGATGATATACAAAACATCCCCATTCAAAATATACCCCCTCAAATGCTAACTTCCCCTCAGGAAGTGTATAATACAATTAAAAGATCCCCGAGTAAGAGAGCACCTGGCCCGGATGGCATTCATAATAAACTTATTAAAAACATCTCCAAAAAATCACTGGTACACCTCCACTACTTAATAAATGCAGTATTAAAATTACAGCATTATCCTGAAAACTTAAAAAAAGCAAATATAATACCTATCCATAAAGCTGGCAAAAATAAAAATGAAATAGAAAGCTACCGCCCCATCTCCCTCTTAAATGGCATCGCCAAAATAATTGACAAAATTATACTAAACAGAATAACGACTCACGAACACGACAAACCAATCATCCCTAAAGAACAGTTTGGATTTAAAGCCGGACACAGCACCATAGCGCAAATTGTTAGAATTGCGCATCACGCTAAAAAAACCTGAGCAAAAACAAACAGTGCTAGTCGCGCTGGATGCGGCGAAGGCTTTTGATACAGTCTGGACCGAAGGGTTGATTTACAAGATGTTTGTGAATGATTACCCTGTTTCCCTTATAAAAATAATTCAAAAGTACTTACAAAACAGAACATTTAACATTAAAATCAACACTACTACACAAGGACCTTACAGAGCACAGGCAGGAGTACCCCAAGGATCAGTACTTGCGCCGCATCTGTATTCCATCATGACCCATGACATACCAATGGGTCAGGATGGCATACAGACAGCCCTGTATGCGGACGATACTTGTATATACAAAACTTCAACATCAGCCAACATAGCGAGCAGAAGATTGGACATACATATAAACCGAACGGTAGTCCCCTATATAGAAAGTAACAAAATAAAAATTAACGCAGAGAAAACGGAAAGCTTAATCCTAACTAAGAAATTCTCAGATAGAATTATTACAAAAATAAGAATTCAAGGGCAGGAAATTGAAACTAAAAACAGTTTAAAATATCTAGGGTTTATACTAGATAGGAGACTGACGTTCGCAGAACACATAACAAAAAGAATTGGCCTGGCTACAGGGGCAATTAAAACCTTGTACCCTATGTTGCACAAAAACAGCGGTGTCACAACAAAAAACAAACTCTTACTATATAAGCAAGTAATCAGGCCAATTCTTACATATGGATGTCCTGTTTTCTGCTCTATGGCTAACACTCATTTTAAAAGGCTACAGAGAGTCCAAAACAAGTGTCTCCGGCTCGCTTTGGGGTGCGACTACTATGCAAGAATAAGGGACATGCACGAACAAACATCCATGGAGCCTATACAAGAATTTATACTAAGAATATCCGAGAATTTCTTTGAAAAAAGTATACCACCATTCATAAAAGATGATATATCGATAATTCACCAAAATGATGGTGTAAACAGAATCCATGGATGTTTACATCAAAACCTAAAACTTTACAGACGACAATAGAGACAGCCCTCAGCTACCAACAGGACGTGGACTGGGCGCTGCTACTAACTAACTCACAGCAGCGAGTATTACACTGAATAGACAAATCTCGAATCCGACTAGCTATCAACTCTGGTCGGACGGAAGACTGCACGGTGACGTCATCATTCGATGCTGAAATTGTGGTTTGCGCTGCAAACTCAATATTGAATGGGGGCTTTACTGTGTAGTCTACAGATTTGTCTTTCTTACGTACGTAAACTAGGATGAGACACACTCACATACAAGGACAACCCTGTTTTTTATAACAGTTTTTCAGGGATGACAGACAGAATTAAAATCATGACAAAAACTCCTTCATAAACCATTATCGACTCTAGTCATGTAGCCCAAACTGTCTTATAATGCTGACAAGCAAGGAGAGGACACCTATAAATCTTAATTTAAATTAACTTAAGGGTATAAACACGGCCAGGACATCGGTCATGATCTTAGAACACTTCCTCACTTCCAGGATAGGAAGAAATCTAAGATAATTTGTTATATTCTAATAGTTAAATGATATGTAAATATGTAAACAGAAAATAAAGATTTTTGAAACTAACTAACTTTACACTCTCGATTAGGACCTTGCCGGAGGGCTCATAGCCCACTTTTCTAGTGAATTATGACAAAAAATAATAGACTATATACAGGACCACGAACTACCAATGACAACCCTGTTTTTACTAGCTTTTTCAGGGGACAAAAACATACCTACTTTTACATACAATTACTGATACAAACTAACCAAAATCTCTTAATAATACCCACAGGGCAAGGAGTAAGGGCAGCTATTGTATAGCAAAACCTTAAGGCAAGAACATCGCGGTGTATTATAGGCGATTAAATCGCCATAGCTCTGGTAGGCGACTAGTAGAGCCGCATAATTGCACCATGTACTGTGTACAAGTGCATTGTGTGTGTATATTTTAGACTGACGATGTATATATATGTTATTAAAGAAAATGAATAAAGATTTTAAATGAAAAAATGAGATTATTTTTAAATATATATCAGGTTATGTAGAGAGCTTGACATTGATTTTTGTGTAAAAATTTTTATATGAAACTTTACTTATCATTTTTTAGTTTTTATTGTAAGTTTATTCATTTTCACAATTTGTCATAGATGTCAAATAAAAAATATATTTTTTAAATACCTTTTATTGGCAAATAAAATAAGAACTAAAATGTTTTAAATGTTTATTTTATAAGATCAGTTCCATCACAATACATAATATTACACAGACACAAACTAGAATAAAGATATATAATGCCTGGCATATTTATTCAGATTTTTTTTATAATGAAAGGGCTTCTCCTTTAAGATTGATGTTAGCTAAAAATTTCAAGTTTTACAGTTAGGATTTTTTTTTACATTTTAACCCATATTAACCCCCCCTATTTTTAATCAGATTTGTTAAAAATCAATAGGCTTTGTTCCCTTATAGAGCTTGATTTTTACTTAAAATTTTCAAGTTCATATCATTTATCGTTTTTGACTTATCGTGCAGACAAAAAACGTGACATCGGACAGACAGACAAAGAAAATCTATAATACTCTTCACATAATACTGTATGAAGAGCAGAAAAAAAAATGTATAAGGTAAAATAAACAATTTAAAAAGGTCAACAATAATATTCAACTTCTTTTATCGAAGGATACTAAAAGTTTGAAATAGCAGCACATAATTAAACATTTATATAA